CGACGCACCCAAGGGCAGATACACAAACACACATTCATAGACACACACTCCGCCTCCTAGAAACACGCACACTCGCCCACAGGCACACTCACTGAGACACCCACGTAGGCATGTGCCTACAGGCACACTCACTGAGACACCCACATGGGCAGACAGCCACAGGCACACTCACTCACTCAGACATCCACACACACTCAGAAACCCAACAAACAGGAACACACACACACACTTATTCACTAAGTCACCAATTGACTCACACACACTCACACCCTCACTCAGACACTTATTCACTAAGTCATCCACTCACTCACTCACACACACACACTGACTCGTACACTCACTCTCAGTCACCCACCCATGTACCATCAGGCACTCACTCAGAGAGACACTCAGTCAGACATTCACTTACACCCTTTCACACACTTACAGTCTCACAAACACACAGCTTCTCATATGCATACCAAGCGCCAAAACATTTTCCAAATTTCCATTGTGACACACAAGTGTGTGAATGTAATCCAAGAGGAACCAATATTGTCAGAGCTCAGGCAGCCCAGTCAGTGAGTTTGCATGGTAAACATGTCAGGCAGGCAGGCAGGCAAGAAAAACAAATAACACAGCACACATACACACAGATTTGAAAGAAGTGAGGCCAAAAAAATGCAGAAGTTGAAAGGTACACAGGCCAACCTCTCTAAGAGGTTTGTGAAGAATAGTTTCTGGAACATTCACCATTGAACCACTGATTTCATGATTCTTGGATTTTGCAAGTTTGTGCAAATCCTTTTAAAGACCATAAGATGTAGGAGCAGAAGTAGGCCATTTAGCCCATCGAGTCCACTCTGCCATTCAATGAGGTCACGGTTGAACTGATCATCTTCGACTCCACCATCTTATTTTTTAACCCACAAACCTTGATTTCCCTTAATGATTAGAAATCCGTCTCAGCTTTGAATATATTTAATAACCCAGCCTCAACAGCCCTCAAAGTAAAGACTTCCACAGATTCACCACCCTCCAGAGAAGAAATTCCTCCTGATCTCTGTCGTAAATAGATGACCCCTTATTTTGAGATGATGCCCTCTGGTGCTAGACTCTCCCATTAGAGGAAACAATTTCTCCACATAAAGCCTATCAAGTCCCTCTAAGAAACTTGTTTGATTCAATGAGGTCGCCTCTCATTCTGTGAAACTAAATGAATGCAGACCCAACCTACTCAACCTCACCTCACAAGACACTCCCTCCATACCTGGGATCAGCCTTCTAAACGTTCTCTGGGCTGCTTCCAATGCCAATATATCTTAGGTAAGGGGCTGAAAACTTGAAAACGCTCACAGTATTCCAGCTGTGGTCTGGCTATTCTCTTGCATAGATTTAGCAGAACCTCCCCACTTTCATAATTTGTCCTGTTTTGTTTTGATGGTGGTTGGTTGGCAGTATTCAGAGTGAGAGATTCTTTAATCTGCAAGGCAAAGGGGGCTGTTCGGTGACTGTTTGACCATGACTTTTCCAGTACTCTAGTGCTTGAACCCCAGGTGATAGACACAGGCTAGTAGTTCATGAGTACACCTTCTGCTATTAGCCCTTACCAGGTTTGCACTCGATATCTAACCACTAGTATTTTGTATATTCCTGGAAAGACAAGACACAAACTTTCCATAATTGAATTCTTTCTGTTGGGGAGTGGCGGGGGGGCGGGTGGCGGGGGGAGGTTGTCACGGGTAACATAGTCAGCTCCTTCATGATCATATCCTTTCACGATTCTTTCTCTCCGTCATTTGAAATTTTGCAGACACACTACAGGTGAATCAGGATTGCGTCAGGCAGGAGTCACAGTTCCGGGAGAGAACACATGGAAGGTTGGAGAATAGATCCAAAGTTCAACAAAAAAAAAAGAAAAACAAACAAACAGTGAAATTTTACAGCTCACCCTGAAAAGACCTCAATATGGGAACTACTTACAGCTGAGTCTCAACATTTCACAGTCTGATCAGCTAAATGTTGGGTCAATCTGTTTTTGTTTTGGAAATTTATAATAGTGGTAGGGTGAGGTTTCTTTTGTTTTACCGAGATCGGTCTCAATTTTTTTGAAATACAAAAGATAAGTATTAAGATATCCTCGAGCAGTGTTTTCAGAGCAGCAAGACTGTGCTAATTTCTGGGTCTGTATATTAAGATGCAGAGATGGTCTTTAGTGGAGTGATGTGCTCTTCCTGTCTGATATGGGAGGTTAGGGAAAATTTCAGCATGACTGATGATTATATCTGCAGGAAGCTTGTTTGGTTGCCAATCCCATTGGATCACATCAATAGGTTGGAATGGCAGATACCGGCAATAACGAATTTACAGGAGCCAGGGGGTATGATGAATGGCAGTATTAAGAAGGGAGAAAAATGGATGATACAGTCAGGTAGATGGGTTACCTCTAGGAAAGGTAGGAGGGCAGGGATGCTGAAGTCAGAGATGCTGAAGTCAGAGATAACACAGTGTGGAGCTGGAGCTGCTTGGCCTGCTCTGTTCCTCCAGCTCCACACTGTGTTATATCTGACTCCAGCATTGGCAGTTCTGACCATCTCTGTTTGAGATGGGAAAGCCACAGGAGATTCCTGCACTGTCGGCCTGCCCTCCTACGTGTGTGTGGCCAGCATTCACAACTTTGGGATAGCAGCTGAGGCAAATAAAAAAAACAAATAGTGTGTTCTGAATTTCCACCGTGTACTGAGAGTGATGTCATTTACAAACTCCATTTGTATGAATCTTGAAAGAGAAAGTTTACAGAAGTGTATCTCAAATCAATTATCACATTAAGATCTGACAGTCACTTAATTCATCACGACCTACATACGACTTAGTTTTGAGATGAAAGGACAACTGTTTAACTAGTTACAGAGCGAGAACAAAACAATGTCCCACATTCATGAGTTTTTTTGTTTCAGAATTCCTACATTACATTTTCTCTGCCATGCTTGGGCCCACTCACAAGTTGTCCAAATCAAAAATCACGCATCAGCCGATTCTGAGCAATTGGTCACAAGCTCCTCTTAGACATGAACAAGATTGCCCCCGAAAAAGATGGTGGCGAACGTGCACCGCCCAGCATACCTGGCCGCCGCGTCTGCGCCCTGCGGCCCCTCATTCCAAATCAAGATGGTGGCCATAAACCCTAAATTCTGGGAGCGGAAAAAAAACGGCGGCACTGGAAAGTCGTATTCGGATTTACGTCTTACCCAACATCTTTATGAAACTTTTCCGTCACCCGCCGTGTCCATCACTCCCTTCGTCATGCTGAATTGTTAACGGTCCCACAGAAGGTAGAGAAACATCTCCTCCCTCGCCATGGCCGATCTCGCCCATGCTCCATTCACACTGAGTACTGCGCCTGCGCACTGTTCTATGCACACATGACGAGGAGGTGCCGGTGTTGGACTGGGGTGAACAATGTAAGTAATCACACGATATCAGATTATAATCCACGTCTCTCTCTCCCTCACACACACGGAAATCGATGGAGTCAATTCGTATTTGCAGGTACATTCAATTTTGTTCAAAAAACACACAATTTATAGAAAGTCAGTCAATGCGGCGTTTTATAAATACCTGCTTGAGAAATAAAATCAGCCTGATGCCAAACCAAAACACAAACAGATTATAAACAAGTCTCACACCTAACATGCATTGTCCGACTTAAAATGTCACCCCTTCTTTACTTATAAAACCTTTTGTTCTCTCAGGGCAGTGACTTGACAGAAATTCGGGGATTTACGTATACATATTAATCAATTAAAACCTTATAACTGACTAAAGATTTAACAGCATGTTAGGTTTGTTTAATAAATCCTCATCAGTGGTTTGAACCTTTGATCTTTGGTTCCCACTGCCAGGTACCCTGGGTACTCGAGTCGCAATTGACTGTGGTTTCACAGGTCGGCGCAACATCGAGGGCTGAAAGGCCTGTACTGCGCTGCAATGTTCTATGTTCTATGTTCTTGGACCTACTGTATTCCAGTTGGGAGCATCGGTTCGTTCAGCTGGCTGGACGACTGATTTCAGCATCTTGGGCTTTATACCCGCAATGTCTGAGCTTGCCATTGCTTTGCAATGTTCCCCTTGTCAGATTCGTGGTGACCTTCTTATTTAAGTGATCAACCCTAAACTCCAGTTGGAATATGGCGACTTTGCCTTTTTCTTGAGTCAGTCTTGCTGTTATGCAATACAAAACGGAGCCAGAGGGAAAACAAAATATTTAAATAAAATAAAGGACTGCAGATGCTGGAACTCTGAAACAAAAAGCTCATGAATGTGGGAAATTTTTTTGTTCTCGCTATGTAACTGGTTAAACAGTTCTCCTTTCATCTCAAAACGATGTAGATAGAGATGAATTAAGTGACTCTGTCAGATTTTAATGTCGTAATTGATTTGAGATACACATCTGTAAACTTTCCCTTTCAAGTTTCATATAAAAGGACTTTGCAAATGATATCACTCTCGGTACAGGGTGGAAATTCAGAACACGCTATTTGTTTTTTTTTAAATTTGCCTCTCCTGATATCTCAAAGTTGTAAATGCTGGCCACACGCATGTCCATTCCTCCTTGGGTTAAAATCTATCTCTACTATTTCCTTCCAAAACTCCCAGTTTTCTTCCTACTCCCATCTCTTCTGCTTCCATCCATTACTACAGTTCTTATCTGTTTATAGAAAACCAAACAAATGAGAGTTTGAGGCTTCCAACGAATCCTGTGCAATTATACAAGGAACTAATTAGGCCACACTTGGAATGCAGTGAATTAGAATTAGAATTGCACTTGTGCCCTTTATCCAAAAGAAACATTAGAATTGGAAGTCATACAGTTAAGTCATCTAACCGAACCCTCCAAGTAACATCCTGTGCGTGGAATTGTGAATGACGGCGCACCAACCCAGACTGCCAAACAGTAGTAAATATCCCCGAGTCACAGAACAGGAAAATGTGCGCAGGCGCAGTGTCATGTGTGAATGGACATTGCGCGGAGTGATGGCGATGGAGGAACGTTGTGTCATGCGGCTCCAGGACCGTTAACAAACGAGCAGAACGACGGGGTCGCTGCATTCAGCAGATGGACGGAAAAGCTTCGTAAACATGTTCGGTCAGCTGCAAGCCCCAGCACGACCTTCTAATGCTTCCGTTTGTCGCCAATGCCGGAGTTTAAAGTTGAACTCATGGCCGCCATTTTGTTTGAATGGACGGGCGGTGGGGCGCAGGCGCGGCGGCAATGTTTGTTGGGGGAATGCGCACGAGGTGCCGCCATGTTTTTAGGGGGCAGTATTGTTCATGACTGGGAGGAGTTTACCACCAATTGCTTACAATGAGGACAACTTCTCCATCAAGCGGATTTGTGATTTGAACAAGTTGTGAGTGGACAAATACATAGTAGATAATATATAATGTGGATAATTTTGAGGTTTTCCAGTTAGTAGCAAAAACAGGAAGCCAGTTTATTATCTGAATGGTTATCGGTTTGAGAAGGGACACCAGCCTGTGAATGTAAGCTTGCATGCACAGTAGGCGGTGAAGCATGCAGGCTGTATGTTAGCCTTCACAGTGATTTGAATCCAGAAACAAGAATATTGTGTTGGAATTGTGCAGGGTCATTGTGAGACTGAGAGGGCATCCAATAGAAACGTGTAAAATTCAGGGCCATGCGGGATAAACACAGGAAAGATGTTCCCAATGATTGGGGAGCCCAGAACCAAGGTTCAAGGTTGAAGGTTGCAGTGTAGGACTAAAGACTAAGATGAGCATAAATGTCTTTGTCTCGGAAGTGGTGAGCTTGTGGACTTCTCTCCCACAGCAAACAATTGAGGCCAAAACATAGAACTGAAGTGTTCAAAAAGAAAGAAGGAACAGGGTACTTACTTGCATGTTTAGCCATGATCATTTAAATGTTGAAGCTGGATGAAAGGGCTGAATGGCTTTCTCCTGCTCTTATTTTCTCTGACTGTATTGACGAAGCATATAATAACAGAGGAGGAAGAACTTTTCCCAACATCAACTGGGCTAGTGATAGTGTGAAAGGTTTAGAGGAATGGAATTCTTAACATGCATCCAGGGCAGCTTTTGAAGCCAGTATGAAGAAGACCCTACAAGAGAGGAACGGTACTAAACTTAATTTTAGGTAATTGAAGCCAAGCAAGTATCAGTGGGGGAATTAGTTGCAGACGTTGATCGTAACTCTGTTAGATTCAAGATTGTTTAGTACGGCACAAGGATGGGGATGGAATCAAAGTTCTAAACCAGTTGAAGGCAGATTGTAATAAGATCAAATATGATTTGGCTAGAGTGGGCTGGGAGCAGAAACATTTCGGTAAATGCGTGTCACATCAGTGGGATACATTGAAGAAGGAAATTGAGAGTTCCAATAAAGGATGGGACCAACAAATCTTGTGAACCCTGGATATACAGGATTGGCTAAAGAGAAGAATGGAGGCATTTAGCAGCTACGAAAGGTTCAAAACAGCAGAAGCCCTAGCCAAGTACCGAATGTGCAGGGGGAGTCTTAGAAAAGGAAATTAGAGCAATAAAGGGACATGAAAGGATAATTGGCAAAATATAAGTGAAAGGGGTGACATGGGTTTGGAAAGCAGAAAGAAGGACAGTGATACACTTCAAAAAAATTAGCTTAGAAAGAGAGGAAGCTTCTGCTTGGTCTAGCAGGCTTAAAAGTAAAAATCTCCTGGGCCAGATTAAATGTATCCCAGATTGGTGAGTAAGGCAAGACCAAAAATAGCAGGGGCACTGGCAATAATTTTTAACTGCTTTCTGAGCACTGGGGAGATGCCGAAGACCTGGTTGTCAAAGAAAGGTTGTAAGGAGAAACCGGGGAACTATAAACCTGTGAGTCTGACTTCAGTTGTGGGTAAGTTGTTGGAGGTGATTATAAAAGATAGGATTTATGGACATTTAGAGAGGCAAAAATTGATTATGGATAGGCAGCATGGTTTTGTGTGAGGAAAATTGTGTCTCACAAACTAGATTGAATTTTTTAAGGAAGTTACCAAAAAGGTTGATGATGGCAGAGCAGTAGATGTTGTTTATTTGGATTTTCGTAAAATGTTTTGACAAGGTTCTGCATGGTAGATGAATTAGTAAAGTTAGGTCACATGGGATTCAGGGTGAGCTTGCCAACTGGATACATTATTGGCTTAACAGCAGGAGACAGGGAGTCATGGTGGAGGCTTGCTTTTCCGACTGGAGGCCTGTGACCAGCGATGTTCCCCATGGATTGGTTTTGGGTTCTCTTTTGTTTGTCATTCATATGAATGATTTAGATGAGAATATAGAAGGCATGTTAGTAAGTTTGCAGATAACACCAACAGTGGATAAGGTTTTCTAAGATTACTATGGGATCTTGATCAAATGGGTCAATGGTTGAAAAATGGCAAATGGATTTCAATCTGACTAATTATGAGGTATTGCATTTATTGTCACATATGGACAGGATGGATAAGAAGGCATTTAGCACGCTTAACTTCATTGGTCAATTCTTTGAGCACAGCAGTTGGGATGTTATGTTGAGTCTGTACAGGACGCTGGTGAGGCCACTTCTGGACTACTATGTCCAGTTATGGTTGCCCAGTTATACGAAGAACCTTATCAAATGAGAGAGAGTTCAGAAGAAATTTACCAGGATGTTGCCAGGTATGGAAGTTTTGAGTTATAAGGAAATGCTGAACAGGCTGGGACTTCTTTCACTGGAGCGTAGGAGGTTGAGAGGTGACCTGATAAAGTTTATGAAATAACGAGAGGAAGAGATCGAGTTGATGGTAGTTGTCTTTTCTCTAAGATGGGGAACTTCAAGACCAGGGGGCACATATTTAATGTGAGAGGAGAGAGATTTGAAAAAGACATGAGGCAAATTGTTTGCACAGGGTGCATTGCGTGTGGAATGTGCCTCCTGAAGAAGTGGTGGATGTGCGTACAATTACAATGTTTAAAAATCATTTGGATGGATGTATGAAAAGGAAAGGTTTGGAGGGATATGGGCCAGGAGGAGGCAGGTGGGACAAGTTTAGTTTGGGATTTCATTCGGCATAGGCTGGTTGGACCGAAGAGTCTGTTTCCATGCTGTATGACTCTGAATCTATGATTCTGTGATGTGGGATTGTTATTCGAGAAGGGAACAAGGGATAAACCAGGAAATTACAGTCCAGTCTGTCTCACCTCTGTGGTGGGGAAACCATTAGAAGCAATTCTGAGGGACAGAATTAATCTGCACTTGGAGCGGAAGTAATTAGTCAGCAACAGTTAGCACAGTTTTGTTCAGGGGAGGTTATGTCTGACCAACTTTTTTTTCGCAAAGAAGTAGCCAGGTGTGTCGCTGAGGACAATTCATTCGACACAGTCTGCTTGGACTTCATCAAGAGTTTTGATAAAGTCCCACAGAGGAGACTGACAGCAAAGGAAAGAGACCATAATAATCAAGATAATTTGGCTGATTGGCTCCAGAATTGGCTGAGTGGTAAGAAGCAAACAGAGTCTGTTTGGCATAGTTTTGTGACTGGAAGCCTGTATCCAGTGGGCTTCCACTGGGATCAGTATTGGGGCCCTTCCTGTTTGTGTTCATATAAGCGATTCACAATGAATGTCAGGTGTTGATCAATAAACTCATGGGTGATATGAAAATTGGTGGGTGGTAAATAGTGAGGAGGACAGCCTTCTGAAGAGTGGTTGTGCAATTTAGGCCTATACTCTGAAGTGTTTAAGAATGAGCGGCTACCTAATTGAGTTATATAGTATGCTGCAAAGCATTGAGAAAGTGGAAGTTGAAAGGATGTTTCCTTCTGTAGGACGTTCTGGAGTGAGAGGTTATAGTTTTAGAATAAGGGTTGGCAGGTTTAACGTAGATGAGGAGAAATTACTTGTCTCAGATGGTTGTGAATCTGTGAAATTCACTATCTCATAATGAGGTGAATGCTGGGACATTAAGTAAATTTAAGGAAGTAATTTAATGAGTAATTATTCATGGGCTGAAAGTTTATGGGCAGTAGGCAGGAAAGTGCAGTTGGGGTGGGATGAGATCAGTCACAGTTTTATTAAATGGCTGAATTGCTACTCCTGCTAGTTCTTTTGTACTTAGATTACAGGAGGATATAGACGGGCTGGTAAGACGGGCTGATCAGTAGAAGTTGGAATTTAATTCAGATAAGTGAGAGGTGATACACTTGGGCAGGGCAAACGAGCCAATGGAATACATGAATAACAATGTAGGACTGAGGATCTGTCAGACTGAGGATCCGTAGGACCCTGCTGTGCAAGTCCATCCATCCCTTAAGGTAAGAGGACAGGCAGGTAAAGTGGTTAAAAGGCAAATGGGACACTTGCCTTTATTAGTCGAGGCATAGAGTTTAGGGGCAGGGAGGTTATGCTGGAAACGTATATATAGTTGGTTAGGCCACAGCTAGAGTGTTGTGTGCAGGTCTGGAATCCAACGAGTAGGAGAGATGTGATTTCACTGGAGACAGCACAGAGGAGATTTACCAGAATACCGTATGGGCTGGAGAGTTTTAGTTGTGAAGAAAAGTTGGACAGACTGGGATTGTTTTCTTTGGAGCAGAGGAGATTGAGAGGAGCAGAGTTGAGATGTATACGTTATGAGGCGTATAGCAGAATTTGAATCTGGATTCCCAGAACATTCCCTGAATCTCTGAATTAATAGTCCAGCACTGATACCATTAATCCAATATATTCCCCAGGATTCTGACCCACCCAACAATATAGGAACAGCAATATCGTTCCAAGTTTGCGGTAAGGAGACCTTAATAGGACAGATAAGGGGCGGTGTGCCATTGTTGCTTTTGCTGCCTGGATTGATGCTTGGTGTTCTGACCAGTTTCATTCCCTTTTGATTTGTGGTTTGATATTTTATGAAATGCTTAATAACAGAGCAGTTGGAAAACAGTGGCTGGGTTGGACAGAGTCAGCATGGATTTCTGAAGGGAAATGATGCTTGGCAAATCTCCTGGCATTCTTCTAGGAATTAATTAGCAGAGTTCATGAGGGGGAATCAGTGGGCATGGTTTATGTGGATTTTGAGAAGGCTTTTGACAAATTCCAACAGATAATATCAGGTCGGGGGGGGGCGTGATCTCAGAGAAACATATAAAATCTTAATATTTTTAGAGAGGTTTAATGCAGGAAGGTTGTTCCCGATGCCAGGATGCACAGAAACAGGAATCCCAGATTAAGGGTATGTGGTAAACCTTTTAGGTCTGAGGTAAGGAGAAATTTCTTCACACAGAGGGGTGAGCTTGTGGAATTTGCTACCACAGAAAGCCGTCAAGGCCAAACCATTGTGTGATTTCAAGAAGGATTCGGATATAGCATTTGGCTCAAGGAATCAAAACATGTGGAAGGTAAATTGAGTTATATGATCAGCCGTGATAATACTGATAGCAGAGCAGGCTCAAAGGGCCGAATGGCCCACTCCTGCCCTAATTAACTTGATTTCTATCAACACATCAGTCAGGAAGAAACTTCTCCCCCGGTGGAGGGATCAATGACCAGGGTGCATAAATTTACGATCAGAGGCAGGAGATTTTAGAAGGCATGTGAGGAAAATATTTTTCCCCTCGAGGGCGGTGGGAATGTGGAACTTGCTGCCTGTAAAGGTAGTTGGGTCAGAAACAGTCATAACATTGAAGAAGTATTTAGATGTGTGTGTGGGTGCAGCGCAGGATTCTGGGCCAGTGCTGAAAAATGGGAAGAGAACAGTAAGGTCGTTGTTTCTGACTGGCACAGCCTTGATGGGCTGAAGGACCTCTTTCTCTGTTTGTAAACCTCTGACTGTCATAACTTTTATACCGCTATCACCCCCCTGTGTCCTTTATTCACCTTGGAGCAATGAGTTTCTTGAATGCAGCCTTGCAACTAAAATCCCCGATCCCTCAAACCATTCTGATAAAGCCCCTGTCCACCCTCCCAGGGACCCTCCCATCCGTCAGAATGTGTGGGTGATCACTGGTTTGTACAGACCCAGAATGCTCTCTGTTTGTGGCTGTGATGTCATCACACACTGACAATTGCACAATGACATCACCCGCTCCCCAGGGATTTCCTCAAATGTGGGATTTTTCTGACTCCGGTGTTTCTGATATCTTTACAGGTGCCAGCTCCAGCGGGAGATTTCCAAATTGCAGACAGTGAAATTGTTGAGCGGTGAGTAGCTTTCACCATTCTTTTACAATTTTGAGGTTTTTTTGAGGTGTGTGCCAGTTATCTGTGGGAGGATCCACCTCTCTGAGGATGGTGTAACTCCTTTACTGTGGATCTGAAGCCATCCATTACTGTGTGTCGCCTCTCTCCTCCCTGATCAGCTCTGCCATTGTCTAACCTGCTCTGTTTAATGTTTGTGTTTGTTTGCTGAATCTCTGAAGTTTCTGTCATTGCCCATCAACCAAGTGTGCATTGCTGACTGAGCAGCTCCATCTTCCCTTTGCACTTCTCACCGTCAGGAATTGTAGAGTCATAGAATCATATAGTTTAGAAGAGGCACTTTGATCCATCGAGTCTGCACCAAAAAAAAAACTTAATTTACTCTGTTCCCACTTTCCAGTACTTGGCCCATCGTCTTAAAAGTTATGATGTTTCAAGTGCTCAGCCAAGTATGTTTTTAAAGGTTGTGAAGTTTCCTGCTTCATTTACCCTCCCAACTGGTGTATTCCAAATACCCACCATCGTCCGAGTGAAAAACAAACTTCATCAAATTCAGTCTTCTGTCTTTCCCCTTAAATGATGTCCTATTGACCCATCAACTAAAGGGAACAGATGCTTCCTATCCACCCTGTCTGTGACCCTCGTAATCTTACAGGAACAGGAGTAGGCCATTCAGTCCCTGGAGCCTGTTCCATCATTCAATGCTGATCTGTCACCTAACACCAGAAAAGTACCTTTTAGCCCATAGAATTGAGTTACAGTGAGTCGTAGAGTCATACAGCATAGAAACAGGCCCTTTGGTCCCCCGTGTCTATACTGACCAACAAACTCCAAACTACACTAATCCCATTTACCTGCGCTTGGTCAATAGACTACTATGTTCTGGCTTTTTAAGTGTTCATTCAGATGCTTTTTAAATGTTGCGAGAGTACCTGCCCCCATCACCATCTCAGCCCGTGCGTTCCATATTTCTACCACTCTCTGGGTGAATTCTTTTTCTCCCTTAGATCTCCTCGAAACCACTTATTCCTCACCTTAAACCTATGCCCTCTGGTCTTAGACATGTCTACCAGAGGGAAAAGATTCTCATGATCTGCACTGTCTATAACTGTCAGAATTATGTATACCTGAAACCTCCCAAATGCATGACCACACAGCCCCCTCTGCCCAATTTACCAGTTGATCAATATCAGACTGTAGCCTGAGAGCATCCTCCTCACTATCACCAATGTAACCAATTTTCCTGTCAGCTGCACATCTGTCCTGTAATGTCACATCTTTCCTATAATGTGGTGACCAGGACTGTATACAGTACTCTCGCTGTGGTCTGACCAAAATTCTGTACAGCTTCAACATAACCTCCCTGCTCTTCTAATCTGTGCCTCGACTGATGAAGTCAATGTCGATGTAGAGTCATCGAGATGTACAGCATGGAAACAGACCCTTCGGTCACACTCGGTTATGCTGTCCAGATATCCTAAATTATTCTAGTCCCATTTGCTAGCATTTGGCCCATATCCCTCTCAACCATTCCTATTCATGTACCCATCCAGATGCCTTTTAATTGTTGTAATCGTACCAGCCTTCACCACTCCTACTCGCAGCTCATTCTATACACGCATCACTCTCTGCATGAAAAGGTTGCTCCTCGGGTCCCTTTTAAATCTTACCCCTCTTACCTTAAACCTGTGCCGTCTAGTTTTGGACTCTGCTACCCTGGGGAAAAGACCTTGGCTGTTCACCCTATCCGTGCCCATCCTGATTTTATAAACTTTTATAAGGTCACCCCTCAGCCTCTGATGCTCCAGGGAAAATAGTCGCTACCTATTCAGCGTCTCCCTTCAGCTGAAACCCTCCAGCCCTGGCAACATCCTTCCGATAGCAGGGAGAACAGAACTGAACATAGTATTCCAAAAGTGGCCTAACCAATGTCCTGTCCAGCCTCAACATAACCAAACATTTCCCATACTCAATGCACTGACCAATAAAGACAAACGTATCAAACGCCTTCTTCACTATTGTGTCTACCTGCGACTCCACTTCCAAAGAACTATGAACCTGCACTCCAAGGTCTCTTTGTTCAGCAACATTCCCCAGGACCTTACCATTAAGTGTATAAGTTCTGCCTTGATTTGCCTTTCCAATATGCAGCATCTCACATTTTTCTAAATTAAACTCCCATCTACAACTCCTTGGCCCATTGGCCCATCTGATCAAGATTCCGTTGTACTCTTAGATAACCTTCTTGGCTGTCCATTACATCACTAATTTTTCTGTCATCTGCAAACTTACTAGCCATACCTCCTATATTCCCATCCAAATCATTAATAGAAATGACAACAAGAATTGGACCCAGCACCGATGGCCATAGGCCCCCAGTTCAAGAAGCAAGCCTCCTCCACTACCACCCTCTGCCTCCTACCTTCGAGCCAGTTGAGTATCCAAATGGCTAGTTTTCCCTGTATTCCGTGTGATCTGTCCTTGCTAACCAGGTTACCGTGTGGAATTTTGTGAAACGCCTTACAGAAATCCATATAGACTACGTCGGCTGCTCTGCCTTCATCAATCCTCTTCGTCTCTTTCTCAACAAACTCAGTCAAGTCAGTGAGACATCATTTCCCGTGCTCAAAACCACGTTGACTGTCCCTAATCAATCCTTGATGGGATGCATGGTAACTTGCCAAGCTGAATTGGCTCAGTACTGGGGAACAGAGGGTGATGGTAAAAGGCGGTTTGTGTGACTGGAACACTGTGTGCAGTGACATACCACAGGGATCAGTGCTTTTTGTGATATTCGTACATGATGTAGATAAGAATTGAGAGAGATGATGACTAAGTTTGTGAATGACACAAAAATTAGTCGGGTGTTTGACAGTGAGGAGACAGGTGTTAGGTTACTGGAACATATGAACAGATTGGTCAGAAGGCAAAATAGTGGCAGTTGGAATTTAACCCTGTTAAATGGGAGGTGATGCACTTTGGAAGAAGGAACAAGACAAGAGTGTACTCCATGAATGGCAAAACATTAGGAAGCTCAGACGAACAAACGGATCTCATGTGCTCGTCTACATATTCCTGAAGGTGGCAGGACAGGTCAATTCATGTAGTTAAGAACGCATAAGGGACGCTTGCCTTTATTGGTCATTGCATAGATTCCAAGAGCAGGGTGTTACGAAGCGGGGGAAGGTCGAACCCTTTGGATAATTAACCCAAAACACAAGCCCCGATCTGTTATTATGGGAGTAGAGGTTCCCTTCTAATAATGACCTTGAAACACCCAGAGAAGCTTGCTTTGTAATCTGATAAAAGAATGGTTAAAAGAAAGAAAACCCCTGATCTCCACTGTTTCGATCACAAGTAACAAGAACAATTTATTTATTTACCCCTAACAATGACCAAATGAACAGAATTACTGACACCAGAACAATTTTTGCCCCACCACCCCACCCACCCCACCCCATACACCAGGCACAATGTATTCCCTAACTGAACTGAATTCTCCTGGCATGTTGTCCAAATAAACACAAGTCCCACTTCTTATTATAAGCCCAATTAATAAGACAACAATAAATTAAAACATAATCTCTCCAACTTGGCATAGAATGTGTCTCTGGAACGCTCTTCCTTCTGTTGATCTCGAGCCACAAACACTTTTCTTCCGCTGATTCTACTATCAGGGATGTTTTCTCAGTGAAGACTCCTTGCTCGAAGTGCCGTGGTGGTACCTTTTGTGGATCGGATGATGTTTTCTTAGAGAGCTTAGTGATTTTTTGTGTGAGCTGGGTGCTTATTTCTCAGATGGTGGTTAGCTCTCACACCCTTCAGATGGCAGTTGGCTCTCTGCCGCTTTTCCAAATGTGCTCTTTATATATACCCATGATGACCCGTCCCTTTTCTTACAATTGCATTGGTCCGAGGTTGTCAAAACCGTCAGATTTAAATTCAATTGGCTTTCAATCCCCAAGTGCTTGATTTAAATTAATTGACTGCTTCCAGCTCATTGCCAAAACATCAAAACAAGCCGTTGGATTCCAATTATGCAACCAATCAGTACATGTTTCCATTTTTAGTACTGTCTGAAATCTGCAGCTGCTTACAGACCCATTTTCTGTATAAATCTCTAATCTTAGAAAAGCACTCTATCTTTTAAAGGGACCGCGCAAACATATTCTTGTTTCCTGCCTTCCAATTCACGATTACTCTACGCAACTTGGTAACAAGGAAGGTCATGTCAGAGCTGCACAGCACTTTGGTTCGGCCGCAGCTGGAGTGCTGTGTGCAGTTTTCATGACCACACTGTAGGAAGGATGTGATTGCTCTGGAAGGGGTGCAAAGGAGATTCACCAAGATGTTGCCTGGTTGGATCATTTCAGCTATGAAGAGAGGCTGGATATTCTTAGGTTGTTGCCTTTGGAGCAGAGAAGGCTGAGGAGCAACCTGATAGAGATGTGTAAGATTATGAAGGGCGTGGACAGGGTGGATAGAAAGCAGTTGAAGGGTCAGTAATAAGGGGGCAATACTTCACAGTGAATGGTAGAAGATTTAAAGGGGATTGGAGGAAAACCTTTTTCACCCAGAGGGTGACTGGGGCCTGGAATGTACTCCCTGGGCAGGAAGTTGAAGCACGAAAGCTCAACTTTTCAAAATTACTTGAACGAGCTCTGGAAATGTCACGACATTCAAGGCTATAAGCCCAGTGTGTGATTAGTGTCAGCAGCGGGATAGTTTTGGCTCTACAGACTTGCTGGGCCATTGGGCCTCTTCTGTACTGTATGATTCTATAATCCTCCTCCTCCTGAGTAAAGACAGATGTGAAGTACTCATTTAACATGCTGCCAACGTCCTCTAGCTCCACACAGATTGGTCCCTAACGGGCCTGACTCTTTCCCTGGTTATGCTCTTTCCTTGATATCCTTGTAGAATATCTTGGGATTCTCCCTAATCTTCCCTGCCAGTGTTTTATTACGCCCCACTTTGCTGTCCTCATTTCTTTCTTATGTTTCCCCCTTGTACTTTCTATTCTCCTCGAGGACCTCCATCACTTTCCTCCCTTTGTACCTGTTAAAAGCTTCTCCTTCCCTTCTTATTCAGTCCTGAAATTTCAGAGGCATCCAAAGTTCTCTGGGTTTTTTATAGAGTCACAGATTTATAGAGGTTTACAGTGGACAGAAAGGCCCTTCGGCTCATTGAGTCTGCGCCAGTCATAGACAACTAAGTAGTTATTGTAATTTTCCAGCACTTGGCCGATAGCCCTGTATGCCTTTGCATCGCAACGGTCCATCAGAATATTTCTTAAATGCTCCTACATTTCCCCCAAAGGGAACATGTTTCACCTAATTCCTTTTTAAACAGCCCCACTGTTCTGCTGAAGTTTACCCACACAAAGCTCTCTAAGGCTGATCCTGCCTTATTTTAAAACAATTTGCCTTTCTCCAACCCACAGCCCTTTCTTGCAGACAGTCTGTTTTTCCTCTCTGCTGCCTCACAGCACCAGGGACCTGGGTTCGATTCCAGCCTTGGGTGACTGTCTGTGTGGAGTTTGTACATTCTTCCCCGTGTCTGTGTGGGTTTCCTCCAGGTGCTCCAGTTTCCTCCCACAGTCCAAAGATGTGCAAGTTAGATGGATTGATAATGTTAAATAACCCTGTAAAATCCAGAGATGTGCAGTCTAGTTGAATTAGCCATAGGAAATGTGGAGTTATGGGGCAAGGGTGGAAACAGGATTTAGGTGAGATGTTTTCGGAGGGTCGGTGCAGACCAGATTCGCCGTATGGCCTCTTTCTGCACTGTCGGGATTCTCTGAATTAGATCCAGCATTACATTGTCACATGTTGGAGCTACTACATGTTGATATAAAAAACACTCCTGAGTACATTTGAATAAATCTGCCCCTCTAAACTGTTTACACCATGACTACACCAATTAATGCTGGTGAAGTTGAAATTCTGTAATCTAACTATTGGATTGTTCTTTTTACATACTTCAGTGAATTGTCTGCATTATTCAATTTATTTCATTTCTCCTCCGATGCTGAGGTTGTATTGACTCTCAAGTTCTGAACCTTTTTTTATTCCTTGTAACTTATCCTGCACACCCTTAACGTTAACTGATTCTCTGTCCTCAGATACTGCCTGACCTGTTGCAATTTTCCAGCATTTTCTGTTTATTTCAGACTTGCAGCAAGTGCAGTATTTTGCTACTCTTTTGATAATAAGACCTTAAGACATAGGAGCAGAAATTAGGCCATTTGGCCCATTGAGTCTGCTCTGCCACTCACTCATGGCTGATAGGTTCTTCAACCCCATCTGGACCGTGCTGTCAGAACCAAGTCTAGAAACACAGACGGATGAATTAAAAGCCCATTTCTGACAGGGTGGGTGTTGGTCACAGATTGTGGCCTATTGGTTCCTATTAATTGAGTCACACAAAATCACTGAATGATTACAATGGAGAAGGAGACTACTCTGTCCATTGTGTCTGTGCTGGCCTTTCTCCAAAAGCAAATCAGCGATTCCTATTATTTGCCCTTTTCTTTCCTCTTCAGGGGCTTTTCCAGTTAGCTTTTGAAAGTCTTTGTTGCATCAGATTGAGCTGGAGTGGTGATGGAGGAGAAGCTGCTAAGTTTACCCTGAGGCCTTTCAAAGCCAGCTGGGCCCTGCAGTTTCCAGCGTGAAGTTGTCAGTGGGAGCTGGACTCTACAAAAGATTGGGTTGCTTAAAAAAACACTCTCCAGAGAGTGTATAACAAAAAAAACATGGTTTGGCGAACAAATATTCTGCAGTTGCTGCAGAAACATGGGTGTTAACTTTCCAAATTGCATTAGATTCTGGAAAGTTTCTGTCTCACTGCAAAATAGCAGATACAACCCCTGTATTAAAGAGGCGAGGAAGGCAGACAACAGGAAACTTTAGGCCAGTTAGGTTGATCTGTCATTGAGGAGATGAGAATCAATTATTTGGAGGTATTATCACCACACTATTAGTCCGGGGACCTGGGTTCATATCCTGCCATGGCAGATGGTAGAATTTGAATTGAATAAAACTCTGGTTTTAAGTCTAACGATGGTCATGAGTCCATTGTCGATTGTTAGGAACAAAACCATCTGGTTCACTAAGGTCCATTAGGGAAGAAAGCTGCCATCCTGAACTGGTCTGGTTTACGTGTCCAGACCCACAGCAATGTTGACTCTTAACTGCCTTCTGGGCAGTTTACGGATGTCAATGAATGCTGGCCTAGCTAGGGACGCCCACTACCTCTGCATGAATTAAAGAGAAACTGAAGAAATAAAAGTGAACAAAAGGATTTAAATGCATTTAGAAAGGTAAGGACTGATTAGGGAGTGTCAACGTGGCTTTGTGCATGGGAAATCGTGTCTCAGTAAGTTGGTTGTGTTTTTTTCAAAATATGGCAAAGAAGATTGAAGACTGGTCGGTAGATATTGTCTATATGGACTTGAGCAAAACGCTCAACAAGGTTCCGCATGGTAGACTGGTTAGCAAGGTTAGATCGTATTGGAGTACAGGAAGAGCTAGCCAGTTGGATACAAATTTGGATTCAAGGTAGGAAACAGAGGGTGGTGGTGGAGGGTTGTCTTTTGAACTGGAGGCCTGTGACCAGGTGGTGTGCCATAAGGGTCAGTGCTGGGTCCACTGCTTTTTGTAATTATTCAAATGATTTGGATGTGACGGTATGGTTAGTAAGTTTGCAGATGACACCAACATTGGTGGCACAGTGGACAGTGAAGAAGGCTATTTTCAGTGAGTAGTTTGGGATCTTGATCAATGGGCTGAGGAGTGGCAGATGGAGTTTGGTTTAGATAAATGTGAGGTGTTGCATTTCAATAAGGCAAATCAGGGCAGGATTTAGACAGTTAATGGTAGGGCCCTGGGGAGTGTTGCTGAACAAGGGGACTTAGGGTTGCAGGTGCATAGTTCCTTGAAAGCGGAGTTGCAGGTAGACAGGATGGTGAAGAAGGCATTTGGTATGCTCGCCTTCATTTGTCACTGCATTGAGTTATCGGAGTTGGGATGTCATGTTGCGACTGTACAGGACATAGTTAGAATACTGTATTCAGTTCAGGTCTCCCTTCTATGAGAAAGAAGTTGTGAATCCTGAAAGGGTTCAGAAATGATTTACTGGGATATTGCCGGTATTGGAGGGTTTGAGCTGTGGGGTGGGGCTGAAAAGGCTGGGGCTTTTCTTCCCTGGAGTGGTGGAGGTTGCGTTGTGAGGCTTACCGCATCAACGGCCCTCCCAGGCAGTGCATTCCAGACTTACACCACCCCTCAGGTGAAAAATGCTTTCCTCCATTCCCCTGTAAAACTTTTGCCTTTCACTGCAAAATGATGCCCAGTGTTATTCAACCTTTAACTAAAGGAACAACTACTTCATTGTGTTTCTCCAATTTAGTGGAATTCTATGAGGAGTGACATGTGCTGTGGATAAAGGGAGCCTGATATATTGTACTTGGCTTTCCTGAAGGCATTTCACAAGGTACCATGGAAAAGGTGTCTGTTTAGAGTGGGAGCTACTGGTTTAGTGGTACCTACCAGCCTGGATACTGGATTGGCTGGCTGGCAGAAAACCGAGAATATCCATAAATGGGTCTGCTTCAGATTGTCAGAACGTGATAAGTGGGGAGCCACAGGGTTCTGCTGAACCAAAACCTTTTGCAGTTTATATCAATGACTTGGATGAGGGGAATGAAGTCATGGTAGCTACGCTTTGTGTGGATACAAAGCTATCAGGAAAGGTTGCTGTGAAGAAGACTTAATTTCCCTACGTCAATCTGCAGCCTTTTTGAATGAATATTTCAGGTGAGCTATGATATAACAAAATGTGAAATTGTTCGCTCCAGGGGAAAAATGAGAAAAGAAAATCAGACCAGAGGACAGGTGCAGAATCTTGTGGAGCTGAGATATCTAGGGGGTCTGGTGCGTGATACACAAAACATTGGTATATAATTAACAACAAGTGATGAAGAAGGCTCATGGAATGTTCTTGTTTATCACGAGTGGAATCAAACAGAAAAGTAAGGAGTTGATGATTCAGTTGTACAGGGCATAAGTGAAACCACACCTCCACAACTGTGTGCAGTTTTGGTCTCATTATTGAAGGAAGGGTGTAAATGCGGTGGAGGTTCAGTAGACTGATATCTGAATGAGTGGGTTGTCTTATGAGGATATTTTGGACAGCCTCGGAATGCTCATGTGTTCAGAAAAATGAGGTGTAATTTGACTCGTGTTTAATATCCTGAATTGGTTTTGACAAGGTGAATGTGGACATATTTTTTCCGAAGGGTAAGTCCAGAATGGGGAAGACCGTTTTAAATCGAGGAGTCTTCATTTTGGAATAGAGATGAGTTCTTTATTCAAGATTAGTGCGACTTTGGAACTCTCTGCCTCAAAAGGCGGTCGAGACTCGGTCATTGAACATTTTTAAGGCAGAGGTGGATAGATTCTTGTTCAACCAGGGGATCAAAAGTTATTGGGTGTAGCTGGAAATTCAAAACATGAGCTCATCGGTCATGATCGTATTGAATGATGGAGCAGGCAGGAGGGCCCGATAGTTCATATGTTGGCCTTTGTGTTCATACATTTGACATGGAGCCAAATGAGATCCTGGGACAGATGCATGACTTTGTATTTTTATGGGGAGACTTTCATTTCCATTATTTCTGTTCTAAATCAATTCCACAGGATATTAGAAGGAGAGGATTTACAGTCGGGAAACTGCAACCGATCAGGATTTCAGAGTGGCCCAATTCGGTGTAACCTGAATCTCATTGGGCTTTGAACATGGAAGGAGAAAACACCGTTGACAGCGGTGAGAAACTGTACATGTGTAGTGCATGTGCACGAGCGTTCAGCCGATCATCTGACCTCTCGAAACATAAACGGAGTCATAAGGAGAAACTGTGGAAATGTGGGGACTGTGGGAATGGATTCAGATCCCCAGCTGAACTGGAAATTCATCGGCGCAGTCACACTGGGGAGAAACCATTCTCCTGCTCTGAATGTGTCAAGGGATTCAGTCAGAAATCCCACCTGCAGAGACACCAGCGAGTTCACGCTGGGGAGAGGCCATTCATCTGCTGTACGTGCGGCAAGGGATTCACTTTGGCTTCCAGCCTCCAGAAGCATCAACGAATTCACACTGGGGAGAGGCCATTCACCAGCTCCTCGTGTGGGAGGGGGATTCTCCGACACATCCAGCTTGATGACAAATCGGTGAGTTCACACTGAGAGAGTGTTTACCTGTTCCCACTGCAGGATGGTGTTGAGGCGTTTATCTGAACTGACTGTACATCAGCAGACTGCCTGTGGAGAAGCTGAATGAGGGGATTCACTGACCCTGCCACCTTGTGGACAGTTCACACTGGGGAGAGGCTGATCCCCCTGCACCAAGTGTGGGACATATCCTCTCCGTCATCCAGCCTGCTGAAACACCAGTGAGTACATTGTGTGAAGAATCTATTCTCGTGCTGAATGTGGAAAAGCAATCACTCAGTCATCCAGCCAACTGAGAAGCCATCGCGTTTGCACAAGGGAGAAGCCTTTTCAATGTCCAAACTGAGCGAAGTATTTGAAAAGATCCTGGGAGTTGACATCCCACGCACTTGTTCACATTGACGTGAGTCTGTTCAGGTGCACTTACTGCAGGACTGAGTTCAGGTGAGAAACTCACCCCATTCTACAGCAGTACATTCACACTGGGGAGAGACTGTTCACCTTCTCTGTGTCGGGGTAAGGATTCATTGAGTTACGAAAACTGCTGAAATGCCAGTGAGTTCCTGAGTAACTGCAGTGATGAAAGATGTATAATTTAGATAAATTCCAGTTTTGGAAGTTGGCATTTATAATAGAGACACTGAATGTGGGTCATTTTCTGGAAGTTTTCTTTAAAATAAAAAGTGTGAGTCCTTGTGAAACAGTGACCTTCCTCCAGCACTGCTCAGAAAGCAAGTGGCTGTGGAGCCCCATGTGGAGTTCATGGGAAATTGTTTAGACTCTGTTGATTTACAACAGATGAGCAAACATCAATTGACGTTATCTTGTTTTCAGTTCAGAATAATCAAGGATTTATTATAGTCTATAAACCCAGGGTTAGAAGGTATTTTGTTCAGTTTGGAGATCTGACTGTGATCAGAATCAAGTTTAGTCTCTCTGCTATATAGAGCTCAGAATAATTCAGTGGAAAAAAGAACAAAAAGTCACCCGAGTAGAACTTCCGAACCAGGAGAGTTTGGTTTGAGCTCTGAAGGTATTAGAAGCAGAAAATGTTTATTCTCTGAATTTTGAGAATATTCATGAAAGAAAATTCCATAGTTCACAGGAAAAGTTTGGGCCAAACCAGTTCAGATATAACTTAGAGATTTAATATTGGGTGTAATTTCTCTGGATTTAAATCTGTGTAAATTGATGCGGGTACACAGTTGCAGCAGGTAATCAGGAAGGCTTATGGAACATTGGCACTTTATTTCAAGGTGGGTTGGAGATTTAGAGTTGGGATGTTTTACTGCAACTGTACAAGATGCTGGTGAGACCACATCTCGAATGCTGAGAATAATTTTGGTCCCCTTATGAAAGGAAAGGTATCATTTCATTGGAGGTAGTTCAGAGAATGTTCTCCAGGGTGTTCCCTCATATGGAGGGACTGTCGTATGAGCAAACACTAAACTTGTTGGGAGTCTACTCACTGGAGTTCGGAAGAATGAGAAGTGATGAAACATATTAGACTAGGCTTGAAAGGGTAAATGTTGAGAGGATTTTTTCACCTCATGGAAGAATCTCAGACCAAAGAGCATAGCCTCAGATATTAGGGCCACTGCCACTTTAAGAAAGAGATGAGAGGAATTTCTTCTGTCGAGGGTTGAGATACTATGGAACTCCTTGCCACAGAACAGTGAGGCAAAGTGGGACCTTGTGTATATTGAAGGCTGACATAGATTCTTGATGAAGGATTATGGGGGAATCATAGGAAAGCAGCCATGAAGAATGTCAGATCAGCTCTGATCCTGCAGAATGGCAGAGCAGGCTCAAGGGGCTGTATGGTGCTGTTAGGAAATAGGTTGGGAACATATTTAAGCACAGCAAAACAAATTGTTTTTCTTTCTGTTTTTGTCTTGCATAATAAAGATCTGTTTTTATTTTTGCTAAAGAATCTCTGCAGCCTCACATGACTGGGTTTCAGTGACTGACCACCACAAACCAAATTAAAAGAATAATCTCACTTTGAGACAGACAGACGCACAATTAAACTCTGGCACCCATTGTACCAGAATATGTGAAGAAAAGTCTCAATCAATACAAAATAATAAATGAAGTGCAATTCAACTTCATACTCGTTGTTCAGGAATTTATCCCGTATTTACTTGCAGGAGCAAAGAGGGTCAGAAGCAGAGTGAATCTCACACTTGCGTACCAGACTTGACATAGATATTTACAGAAGAAATCCCTCTGTCTCCTCCACTGAGAGAATGGCAGATTCAAAATAAATAAAGCACAAGCAACCCTCTAACTCTATTTTAATTTAATCCCTACCACCCTGTCACTTTTTAATGATAGCATTGCCCTTTTGGGGGGCTTTGATTGTTGCTGGCTACACTAGTCACGTGGGTGGTTTTGCTGGTGGTGAAAAGTCCATCAGCTGTTCTGGTTTATCTGTGTTCATTTTGAAACCCTCTCACTGACAGCAGAAAGTCTCATTTACAGCATTCTGCCACTGGACAGGTCCAGCATGGAGATTTATAAATTTTTCAAAAAACAGGAAACACATGTAAAATGTAAAACCGATTTATAGAACTCCGAGGGAAATGCCTTTTATTTTGCTTGCTGGCAAGTGATGGGGACACTCGTTTGCTGGCTGTGAAACTCAGGGTTCGTATTCCACCAGGGTTGTTAGCTCCTGGACTAATCGAGTATTAAAGAGCAACTTGACCACACAGAAGTAGCTGAAAAATGACACTCTGGTGTGTAATATGCTCTCTTTCTACAGGCAGGGAAAACAGGATGCATGTGAACGCATCCGAGAATAGGGTGTGCACTTGTTAATTTACACAACATTTGTCAAAACACAATTAATGTACATCCCCAGAATCACAATGGTTTGATTGACCCGTCCTGGATGTGCTTAATGCATTTATTCAGACAAATACATTCATTCTGCTCCAACTCTTGTCAGAATTATGACAGGACAGCTTAAATGGCCGTGTGAGGGACAAATGTATTCATGGTGAAGGGATAAAGCCTTGGTGTTTTTTTTGTTTTGAATATTTGACTACACAGGATCCAAGGTCATAGCATCAGGTTTGAGATGACACAATTTGGCAATGGTGTAAGCAGGGACAAGAAGTGGAGCAAACTTCAGGAGGACACAGGGACTCTGATAAAATGGACAACAAACTAGTGGGTGGGATGCGAAATGGGTGCAGGGACGGTGAATGTTCTGGTTTAATTTATGTTAAACTGAATCTTGCATATGTGGAAAATAAGGTTGGAATTGTGTCTGTTGAGGGAAAACATGTTAAAAGCAGTTTACATTCATACTTTCTTGCACTTTAGAAAATGTTAGTTTGGAGTTTGAAGACATTTGGGTTTTGATTGATGAGAATGCTGTTCCCACAACCTGGTTACAGGAAGTGCTCTGAGATAATTAAGGACTGAATTGAGAAGGAATTTCTTCACCCAGAGGGTTGTTAATCTATGGAATTCCTTGCCCAGTGAAGTAGTTGACGCTACTTCAGTAATTGGTTTTTAAAAAAAGTAGATATTTTTTGAACAATAAAGGAATTAAGGGATACGGTGAGAACACGGGTAAGTGGATCTGAGTCCACAAAAAGATCAGCCATGATGTTATTGAATGGCGGAGCAGGCTCGAAGGGCCAGACGGACTACTCCTGCTCCTAGTTCTTATGTTCACAGGGTCTGGATTCTGGATATTGGCAGAGCAGGCTCAAGGGGCCGAATGGTGCTGTTGGGAAATTGTTTTTCTCTTGCGTAATAAACATCTGTTTTTTGCTAAGAAATCTCTACAGCCTCACATGACTGACCACCACATTAACTAAATTAGAAGAGTAATCTCACTTGGAGACAGTCAGACACATAATTAAACTCTGTCACCCAATGTACCAGAACATGTGAAAAAAAAAGTCTCATCCAATACAAAATAATAAATGAAGTACAGTTCAACCTGATACTCCAGCTGTTCAAGAATTTATCCCCTATTGACTCACAGGAGCAAAGACTGTCAGAAGCAGAGTGAAACTCTCACTTGCGTACCAGACTTAAGGTGAATATTTACAGAAGAAATCCCTCCCTCTCCCAGAGAGGAAGTTTCAAAATGAATAAAGCGCAAGCAGCCCTCCAACTCCATTTTAATTTAATCCCTACTTCCTGTCACTTTTTTCATGTTAGCATTGACCTGGTAACGTTGTGTTTTTGCTGGTGGTGGAAAGTCCAGCAGCTGTGTTGGTTCATTTAGGTTCAATTTGAAAGCTTCTCACTGACAGCAGAAAGCCTCATTTACAGCATTCTACCACCAGGCAGGATCCCTGCAGAAATTTACAAATTAATAAAAAAAAAACACGTGTAAAATGTAAAATCTATTTGTGGAACTCAGAGGGAAATAATTTTCTTTTGCTTGCTGGGTGTGAAACACAGGGTTCGTATTCCACCAGGGTTGTTAGCTCCTGCACGAATTGAGTATTAAAAAGGAACTTGAACACACAGAAGTAGCTTAAAAAATGACTCTCTGGTGTGCAATATGCTCTCTCTCTGTACAGACAGAGAAAACGGAATGCATGTGAATGCATCCAAGAATAAGGTGTGCATAGGGTCAGCGACCATTTGTTAGTTTACGCAACATCTGTAAAACCACAATGCACATTCCCAGAATCACAATGGTTCAACCGACCTATCCTGGATATGCTTCAAGTATTTATTCAGACAAAGCTTTACTCTATATATAACCTCCCCTATTTATATATAACTCTGCTCCAATTCTTGTCAGAATTATGATGGGACAGCTTAAAGTAGCACCTCACATTTACCTGATGTAAACTCCATCTGCCAATCATTTGAGTTCATTCCACAAATAAACAGTTTCTCCAATTCCATACTAACCTGTTATGACTTTCAAATCTCGATTGTCTAAATATAAAATAAAACAAAAATTGCAATCAAATAAAGCTCCTGGGTGGATGAATTCACTCCCATCTCACCACTGGGTGCAGATGCATGTCTCATATTCGCTATTTACTCGTGATTGTATGTGATATGATACAGTGCCACCGAGCGAGCATTGCAAACAGTACAACACTAAATTGCGAAAGGATATTGAAGCCTGCAGTTCACACGCATATCTAGATACAAATCACGCCAATCCACTCGATTAAATTCTCGTCCATGAACATTGGTATCAATAATCCTAGACTTAAATCGCCAGAACCATCGATTAGATGCTAGTTTGTTTTAAA